TATTTTATATTAATAGCAGCATGGAATTTATTGTAACATATTGTAATAACCGTATTTAGTAAAATATTTAACTTTTAGTAATTACTAAAGCTTTACACTCAAACCAATTTCAGTTCTTATCTGTTATGAACTGAAACTATTGGTACAGTTAAAATTTATCATATTTTTTTAAAATTTAAACATTGCGAATTATATTGGATTCAAATACCTTCAATTTCTATATGTTCCAGAAAAATTATATATCAATTATATTTTATTCAAATTTAAAACAAATTTTTAAAATAATATAAAATGTATTTCAATTTTGTTTCATTGCACAAACGTATTTTGAACAAATTAAATAAAAATTACAGGTTCAACGTATATAAATAATAACAATGTATATGAATATTATTAGTAAAACAATTTTAGATTTTCCGATTTCTAAACAACCTATTAAATTTCACTGCATATTATCTTTCATATACAGTTTATTTACAAATACATTTATACAGAGTAAATTGTTATCACTGTTAGATATAATGTTTGTTCTAGATTCCTCAGGAATGAATTTCCCTGTCAAAAATTGCATCATCCCAAAAAAAAAAAAAATTCTCTCTTGTTAAATAATTCAGTTAGTTTTAAGAAGTGAAATTCTTAAGTGCTTAAGTCCATGCAAACACATGCAATCATGCTTGGATACCAACCTCTGTATTTTCTGTACTGTCACAGTACGCAACAGTTGCTGTTCCACCGTAGATTCGGTCTTTCGGTTAATCAAACTGGGGAGAAAAGGCAGCAGCATAGGGTTAAACCAAAGCATAGGGTAGGATTTGAGAGTGCTCGGTTAGCAATTAACAAAGCATGTGCATTTAAGAAAATAAAAATTGAAAGCAGGATCTAGGATTAGGTTTTTCTCTACTTGGTAAATATACATTAACATAATACTAATATTAATGGGNTCATTTCAAAATAATTTTTCATTGACAATATAATCTATTTGAGTGTCTTTTACTATAAATTTAATAAACAAAAATTAAAACAATAAAACAAATCAAATAGCAGAATATATTTATCTTCTAGCAATAAATTTTGAGAAAAAGAAACAATTTACGCTTACTGTATATGCCTTCTTCAAATTACAACAATCAAACATATTCAAACAAAAACACATTATAAATAAAAAAAATGAATTTAACATAATTAACATTCATAGGATATTTTATGCAATATTTTCATACATTTATTTATTTTTATTTCAGCTCCACTAATAGTTGAAAAATTTTACAATAATCACATAAAACATCTGTAATAACACCTATAAAACACCATTATAATCAATAAAATACTGTCTTATTTTACTAAAGTTAACAACTATCATTCACAATGTACATGCTACTATATATAGAAGATATATATACATAATTATTCAAATCATTTTAAACAATTATATATTAATTCTATAATTATAAAATTGATTACACAAAAGAGAGGTTGCGGCCGACGTTTTCATCGTGAAAACGTGAACGTCGGACGTTCAGCGCCGCCTTCCTGTAAGCCTAGAAGTTTGGCAATGACGTTTGGAACATCAAGCATGATTCCACTGACATTCCAAACGCCATTGAGAAACTTCTAGGCTTACAGGAAGGCGGTGCTGAACATCCGACGTTCACGTTTTTGCGATGAAAACGTCGGCTGCAACCTCTCTACTATAATATATAGAATAAATTATAAGCAAATATTTTAAAATAAATGTATGAAAAGAATCTATTCTTTTTTCTTTAATAAATGCAGTATATTTATTTAATGTAAATTTAACTTATCACAGGAAACATTCATGCACAGAATAATTAGAAAAATATCAACGTTTTATTGCAAGAAATGCATTACATATATTTTTCTGAAATACGTGATTACAGAGAAATTTTAAATATCAAATTAATTTGAAAAATAGAAAAGAATCGAACATGATCCATAACAAAATCTCCATTAAGGTAGAAATCAAATGATCAAAACTCAACAATATCATATGAAATTTCAGAAATTAACAATGCATATACTATCTTATCAAATACATTTTATTCTGCCAATATATATTGTGATGTACAATATTTTCTTTGTAAACTTTTATAATTTTCTATTATTAATGTAAGATGTCATTCATTGTTTATTTGAGATAAAATTCAAGAATTTTATCTCAAATAAACAATTTAAATTTGTGAATTTTATTATTATGAGATACACCTGTGTTTGCATTTGACCTCTGCTGTCCTATCTTTTCAAATTATTGTCATAATTATGAATTTTTGGGGATGATTCTTAGTAAGATAAAACAAAAAACATTAAAAATTTTACCATTATTTTATTATAGAATTTAAGAAAATAAAGAAATAAAATTTATATATTTTATTGATTCTCATTTTACAAATATATTCAAAGAACACAAAAGGAATACCAAAATGGACCTACTAGACAGTTAAATTAGCCAAAAACTTTTGTTTTTAAAATTAAATGCCAAATTGAAAAGGTTTTTTGCTTATATATATTCAAAGATTTGAAAAATATAAACCATATATTCATTTTCCTATATATGAATTTTGCATATGTTATATACATAAATGCATGTATAAAATTGTATGTATTGTATTTTTATTATTAACTTATAAATCTCAATTATATGCTACTACAGCAAGGAAATGTAAAGAACACTGGATTTCAACAATAATCTGTATTATTAAGATATATAAATTACTTCCAAACATGCAATTATCCATGAAATATAAAAATTAATAAACAATGACAATATTTTTTTCAAACTTAAAAGTAAAGATGTACTGTTACATAGCATTTTTCTAGATATTGAAATAAATGATAAGCTTAAGACAGAGAATACTATAAAACACTACTCGAAAAACTTATTTGGATAGCTCATGGATATTTTTAAACTAAACATTCATATTTGACAAAGTCGAATAAAGGCCTAAATCATACTGTATTCCTGCACATTAATAGAAAACATTATATTTTAATATAGAATAAAATAGTCATCAGAGATAACTCAAAAGATTTGGATCAACTAATCTCTAATTATTAATTGTCAGAATCTCAAACGACGAATCACTATATACTTAATATATATAGATATTTCAGATTTCTAACGATCAAATTTGCACTAAGCATTCTATTTTATTTTTATACTAAACTAAAAATACTAATATTAAATCTTATATAAAGTTTTTCTTAAAAACATAAGATAAGATCTTATGTAGGAACTTAGTATGAAGCAAAATAATCCTAAAGAATGTCTAGAAAAAAAAACAAACACAAAAAGCATTGACTAGACTGATAAGAAAAATATTTCCATGTCACAAGGTTTCTTCTTTCACTTCAGTTTAAATGAACATTATTGTAAAAAAAGTTTCCTATGATTAACAGAAGAGACATGTGTTATTGAAACTAGACACCATAATTTAAATGAGAGTATTTAGTTTTTGTTTAGATTAACTATTAGTAAAAATGACATAGTTAAAAAACCTGACAGATATTGTTAGTATATGGAAGTGAATTAAAACAATATGTAAAATAATTAAATTAATAACATATTATAATTATAACAAGCATTTTAATCCATAGACTAATTAAATTTTATATAAAGACAAAATATTAAACAATTATTTTAATAAAACTTTATATAATTAGGATTAATTTTTAAATTTCTATACGTCTATATATTCAATTTGGTCTACGCTATTTGAAAAACATTTTGAAGGTAAATTTTATCATCTCCGAGAAAGAAAAATATGAAAAAAAAATGTTGTTATCAACTAGTATATTTCATAATCAAATATAATTTGATATTCTGCTGATAAAAAAAAACAAGAAAATGATTTTTTCTAGCTAACAAAGATTTAATATATCTTAATAAAAGCATTATTATTACAAAAATTAAAGGAAGAATTTCTAATTTCTAACTAAATGATCAGAAAGAACAACCAAAAATTTCACAGAAACATTGATATATAAATACATTAAATTTACCAAATAATTTAGATTTCTTACATCTTCCAGCGATACTTTATTTAAAAAAGGCATAAGGAAGGCGCGAAATTAATTATTGTTAATTTCCAGCTTCGAACAACACTGCTCAATTCAGAAAATTTAGCTCAATCATATAAAATATACGTTCAATTACAAATCAGCTGGTTTACAATCAATCTAGTATAAAATATTTATACAATAATATACATTAAAATGTAGATTACTTGATAAAACTGCAAGACATAATTTAGGTAGTATCGGTAGGATTACGGCTCCGAATAAAGAGTCTCTAACAGTTGATCTTTAGCATTTGAGAAATAACTCCCGGATTTTTCCGCTTTAAAATTTTACCCCATTTTCGAAAGTACGCAAAATTTCAAACAGGACGATTTCGGGGGGATACGTCCCATAAAGGATCGCGCGTAGAGGACGGTTCCTTTGACTTTTTTACTCCTGCGGGCACAATCTACGGCTCCGACGGGGTCCCATTCGGAGCCGCAATTGCTTTATACCGAAAATTAGTAAAAATTCTTACAGAATACTTGTCAAAGAAATAATCTATGAGGAATTCAAGATAAGAACTAGAAACTGGATTGTGATAATCATGTTAAAAAAATTCAACTTAAAAATATGTTTTTAACAGCAAATATTTCAAAATGAAATACTATAAAACCAATTAAAGTATTAAATTTAAAAAAAAAAACCCCACCAGAAAGCCAAACTCATTACTTACAATAAAATAAACTTTAGTATTACTAGAAAATACAGAAAATCATACAAATGCCTGGAAAAGACCACGTTAACATTTTAAAATAAGTCATTTAACACCTACCTAATGCTTATAAATTGTAATTTTCCGTTATAAATTTGCATACGAGACAAGAGCGACGGTAAAATTACGTTATTAACATACAAGACAAGCGGAATTTATACATAAAAAAAAAGAAAAGAGAGGAAAAAAAACGTGAGAAGTGGTTACTTACATATGAGAGTCGGCCATATTGTGGTGACTGCTTTTCAGGTGTCTGCTACTACTGTGTGACGTTGACGGATGTCAGAAAAGTTGTTACGACGCTTCGGGAAACGTTGCCTCGATTCGCCAATATAAATAAATTCGTTATTAATTTAACAAATTCTATATCGATCGGAAGGGGCCAAAGATAAAGTAATGGTAACATTCGTTTCCTCTCATAATGGCGTATACAATAACGGCAATCGGTTCGAAATGGCGATTCGGATGATCGGTGAAAGAACCGGAATGAAAAATGACGTCCGACGTGTCAAGATTGTTACTATTGTCGACGTTGTTTACTTATCTAACTTCATAACGCGCACAGTAACAAATAACTGGAGTGGAGGGCGATGACTCACATTAAAAAAAAAAGAAAACAAAAAAACAAGAAGAGAAAGATCCTTAATTGGGTCTGCCGTTTAGTAATTAAATAAAGATTTTTGTAGGAAATTCTACATCCAGTACGAATTTTTATGTGTTTAGCTTTAATAAACGTGTTTTTTTGTTAGGTCGTTTGAATTTTTTTTGTGTGTGTTTACGTGTAATCGATGCACCAGTTAGATTTTATTTGACTCTCTAATGCCCCCATTGAAAGTCCTTTTTTTTTTGGAATTGCTGAGATTTTAATCTTTATTTCCGATTATATTAGAGAGGTTGCGGCCGAAGTTTTCGTCTCTCGAACGCGAACGTCGAACGTCGAGCGCCGCAAACAATGCGGCGCTCGACGTTCGACGTTCACGTTTGAGAGATGAAAACTTCGGCCGTAACTTCTGTATTATTAAAACGATCAGAAATAAATTAAATTAAGATTTCATCTCGTATATACTGCTCTATAATAAGAAATTTTACCAATTTATTCCTAAAGATTAGTCATTGTAGTCTAATCTACGAGAGAATAAACTCAAGATTTGTTTTAAAGAATAAGCTACTCGATAAAAGAAAAAAAAATGGTTCCGAGTGAATTCTATTGTATTTTTCTTCAGAAATATCAAAAATTACTTTCATTTTCACTAAGTCTATAAATTAGTAGAGATAAAAACGTGCTGATAAGTCAAGAATTCAGTTCTAAATATGGGGTTTGAGTAATTTACAAACAGGAAATAATCCGAATTTAAAGATAAAATGGAAATAAATTTAATATCATGAATTATCTGGAGAGACTTATTGCTTATATTATTTTTAAACGATCGTAGAAATGTAACATCCGTTATTTCCAACGTTTCCATCTGATGTCCTATATGCCATCAATGCATGACAAAAGACATAACGGTCTGAAGTAGAACGGATGCTGATCAGCCTTTAAATAAAACTCTGTATAGAAAGTTATATTGTGAATTGAAACCAGATTACACAGCGAAGGATCATAACTAAACTCTTCCGTTTCCATATATGCTAATGTAATCATCGAAACTACACTTTGGACTTTTTTTATTTACATAATACTGTATTTACATGATACACTTTTATACCTCTAGTTAAAAAACAAAAACAAAGGCTTTATAAATTTATTCTGGTGTCAAATATTCGTGAAGAATTTTTCAAGGTTAATGACTTTAATTTAAATTTTTCATTGTTTATGCGTGTAGTATCGTTAATTAAAACATTGTAAATCGATTCTTAATCGTAACACTATCACTTAATAGTACTTTGTACTTAAGAGTAAGATTTCATTGTAAATATTTAAAAATGCCATGTTTATTTACTATTCAAAGATAGTTTAAGGAACACACTTCTAATCTTCTCTATTCTCTGCAGTCCTTCTTTATCTATTGGGCTAAATGAACTATACTTAAGGGGTGCCATTGATCCGATGGCGCTTAATTAACAATCGAGTCTCTTGAAGTCAATGAGAAATACAGTCGACCCCCCCCAATAATACTGTTGATTATTCCGTTTTATATGAATTCCGTGTTGTACGAGTCACTCAGATTTTACAAATACGTGTGCCGGGCTGTGAACAGCTCACGTATTTGTAAAATCTAAGTGACTCGTACAACATGGAATTCATATAAAACGGAATAATCAACAGTGTTATGGGGGG